CCCATCTATAAATATATTAAACAACCACGGTGACATCACACATCCTTGTCTAAGGCCTACTTTTACTGGGAAAAAATTTCCCTCTTTCCTACATACTCTAACTTGAGCCTCACTATCCTCGTAAAAACTCTTCACTGCTTTCAGTAACCTACCTCCTACACCATACACTTGCAACATCTGCCACATTGCCCCCCTATCCACCCTGTCATACGCCTTTTCCAAATCCATAAATGCCACAAAGACCTCTTTAGCCTTATCTAAATACTGTTCACTTATATGTTTCACTGTAAACACCTGGTCCACACACCCCCTACCTTTCCTAAAGCCTCCTTGTTCATCTGCTATCCTATTCTCCGTCTTACTCTTAATTCTTTCAATTATAACTCTACCATACACTTTACCAGGTACACTCAACAGACTTATCCCCCTATAATTTTTGCACTCTCTTTTATCCCCTTTGCCTTTATACAAAGGAACTATGCATGCTCTCTGCCAATCCCTAGGTACCTTACCCTCTTCCATACATTTATTAAATAATTGCACCAACCACTCCAAAACTATATCCCCACCTGCTTTTAACATTTCTATCTTTATCCCATCAATTCCGGCTGCCTTGCCCCCTTTCATTTTACCTACTGCCTCACGAACTTCCCCCACACTCACAACTGGCTCTTCCTCACTCCTACAAGATGTTATTCCTCCTTGCCCTATACACGAAATCACAGCTTCCCTATCTTCATCAACATTTAACAATTCCTCAAAATATTCCCTCCATCTTCCCAATACCTCTAACTCTCCATTTAATAACTCTCCTCTCCTATTTTTAACTGACAAATCCATTTGTTCTCTAGGCTTTCTTAACTTGTTAATCTCACTCCAAAACTTTTTCTTATTTTCAACAAAATTTGTTGATAACATCTCACCCACTCTCTCATTTGCTCTCTTTTTACATTGCTTCACCACTCTCTTAACTTCTCTCTTTTTCTCCATATACTCTTCCCTCCTTGCATCACTTCTACTTTGTAAAAAAACTTCTCATATGCTAACTTTTTCTCCCTTACTACTCTCTTTACATCATCATTCCACCAATCGCTCCTCTTCCCTCCTGCACCCACTTTCCTGTAACCACAAACTTCTGCTGAACACTAACACTACATTTTTAAACCTACCCCATACCTCTTCGACCCCATTGCCTATGCTCTCATTAGCCCATCTATCCTCCAATAGCTGTTTATATCTTACCCTAACTGCTCCTCTTTTAGTTTATAAACCTTCACCTCTCTCTTCCCTGATGCTTCTATTCTCCTTGTATCCCATCTACCTTTTACTCTCAGTGTAGCTACAACTAGAAGTGATCTGATATATCTGTGGCCCCTCTATAAACATGTACATCCTGAAGTCTACTCAACAGTCTTTTATCTACCAATACATAATCCAACAAACTACTGTCATTTCGCCCTACATCATATCGTGTATACTTATTTATCCTCTTTTTCTTAAAATATGTATTACCTATAACTAAACCCCTTTCTATACAAAGTTCAATCAAAGGGCTCCCATTATCATTTACACCTGGCACCCCAAACTTACCTACCACACCCTCTCTAAAAGTTTCTCCTACTTTAGCATTCAAGTCCCCTACCACAATTACTCTCTCACTTGGTTCAAAGGCTCCTATACATTCACTTAACATCTCCCAAAATCTCTCTCTCTCCTCTGCATTCCTCTCTTCTCCAGGTGCATACACGCTTATTATGACCCACTTCTCGCATCCAACCTTTACTTTAATCCACATAATTCTTGAATTTACACATTCATATTCTCTTTTCTCCTTCCATAACTGATCATTTAACATTACTGCTACCCTTCCTTTGCTCTAACTCTCTCAGATACTCCAGATTTAATCCCATTTATTTCCCCCACTGAAACTCTCCTACCCCCTTCAGCTTTGTTTCGCTTAGGGCCAGGACATCCAACTTCTTTTCATTCATAACATCAGCAATCATCTGTTTCTTGTCATCCGCACTACATCCACGCACATTTAAGCAACCCAGTTTTATAAAGTTTTTCTTCTTCTCTTTTTTAGTAATTGTATACAGGAGAAGGGGTTACTAGCCCATTGCTCCCGGCATTTTAGTCGCCTCATACGACACGCATGGCTTACGGAGGAAAGATTCTTTTCCACTTCCCCATGGACAATAGAAGAAATAAAAAAGAACAAGAGCTATTTAGAAAAAGGAGGAAAACCTAGATGTATGTATATATATATATGCATGTGCGTGTCTGTGAAGTGTGACCAAAGTGTAAGTAGGAGTAGCAAGATATCCCTGTTATCTTAGCGTGTTTATGAGACAGAAAAAGAAAACCAGCAATCCTACCATCATGCAAAACAGTTACAGGTTTTTGTTTCACAGTCATCTGGCAGGACGGTAGTACTTCCCTGGGTGGTTGCTGTCTACCAACCTACTACCTACTGTATATACAATACCATAATACACTCAACTACAAACAAAAAAATTACAAACCACAGTGGCTTAGATTACATAGTATTTTTGTCAATGAAGGAGTATATATGTATTCATTCAATAACACAAGCTAAAACTATCAATAAAGAAAATTACACTAATAAGCACATAGGAAAATATACAGTGGACCCCTGGTTAACGATATTTTTTCACTCCAGAAGTATGTTCAGGTGCCAGTACTGACCAAATTTGTTCCCATAAGGAATATTGTGAAGTAGATTAGTCCATTTCAGACCCCCAAACATACACGTACAAACACACTTACATAATTGGTCGCATTTGGAGGTGATCGTTATGCGGGGGTCCACTTTACTATCATATGAAGTTAAAACAGCACACAAATTAAGAACACATTAAAAGGATAACATCTATGAAAGACTTAACTTTTTTCCTAGGACATCGTAGATACCCATATGTGTAAAACACAGCTTATTTGAAAAGGCGAAAGCAATATAAAATTTCACAGTTGACAACATTACAAGTAACAGAGTGACAGGAGGACAAAGTGGCTGTGGATGAGGTATGTGGGTTCTAACCTACAGGGAACTGTCAAGTGACCATTCTTAGAGAGTAGGGTTAAACACCTGAGGTAACGGTGAACCCTCTACAACTTGCTGCTTCTACTTATGACCCACCTAGCTTGCCACTTTCAAGGACATACTGATGTAAATGGTCCACAAAATCATGTAGGCAAACAGTGAGATTAACAGCCACTGTTTACAGAAAGGCAGAACTTGTCCAGACATTAAATAGCATGGGAGTCTCCTGCGACTAGTAGAGAATTTCCCTTCTTTTAGCTACAATCTTAATTTAACAGGGTTTGCCTGGCATTCACCAAACCAAAAACACACAGTATAGGCCCAGTTGCTCAAGGTTGAAAGGGGGTGGAGGCTGCCCCTTCACGAGGCCTAGAGTGGGTTCCACTTTAGTGTTGAAGGAGATAGGGGTACTTACATGGTGTCATGTAGTGTATCCCTCCTCCCTCATGCTCTAGAAGCTAGTAGAGAAGATTCCTTAACACCAATTAAGGTAGTGCACAGGGAGAATACACTAAACTGAGCCTGTCCCATGAAGTAGAAGAATAGAAAATAAAGTCTGGGCTTGGTCAATTGTCTATCACCAGAATATCCATGGCAACCTGGCTAATGTTTTGTTTTGGGACTGGTACAATTACGTTAAGCTGCCACTGAAGTGACAATCTGCCATGGGGCACAATATCACGGGATGTCACAGGTCCACGTTTCTCATCGACCTGCTCAATTATCTCCGTCAGACACTCTGAGGTACCTAATCTACTAATAAACTGTGGTAGGAGGCAAGCACCTGTATGCCAGCATACAGGTGCTTGCCTCCTACCACAGTTGTCAAAATGTAAAGCACATTCTACATGGTCACCGCATTTGCAAATGTTATGAAGACTAACTCATTATGGCAGGAGACAGACATCCGGCCAATCATATCCAAGTGTTACAAATGCCTGTGCCTCCCGAGATGCCACTATTAAGTGTACAGCCAATCATCCCAACGCCCTCAGCCAATATAGTCAGTAGTGACCCTACTCTAACCAGTGTCCAGCACCAAAAAAAAGGCTTGCTCAGACTTAACATGAAAAGGAATAGCAAAATCATATTATATTGAGACACAGCAACAGATGTGCTGGTTCACTCCCCTCCACTTCAGTGCTGAAATCAGTGAAAGAGTAAGGAGAGAAATCGGCAGTGGCCCAAGATCATGAACAGGGCAAAAATCTCTGATTTGTGTTAAATAAAAGGGGCATCAAACCCCACCACTATGATGAGTGACCTGGAGAGGGGGTAGGGTGGGGGGAAACAAACAATTACATATAGTAGCAACAAGCTGCTTAACCCTTAAACGGTCCAAATAGGTTGACTTCAAATCCGTACTGCTCCAAAAGTAGATCTATGTTTTTTCTACATATTTTCAAAATAAATAAAAAATAAAAAATAAAAAATAAAAAATAAAAAATAAAAAATAAATAAATAAATAAATAAATAAAAAATAAATAAAAAATAAATAAAAAATAAATAAAAAATAAATAAAAAATAAAAAATAAAAAATAAAAAAATAAAAAATAAAAAAATAAAAAAATAAAAAAATAAATAAATAAAAAATAAATAAAAAAATAAATAAAAAATAAAAAAATAAATAAATAAATAAATAAATAAATAAAATATATATATATATATATATATATATATATATATATATATATATATATATATATATATATATATATATATATATAATATATAATTTCAACAAGTCGGCAGTCTCCCACCGAGGCAGATAAAAGTTTAACATTCTCAAATGTAAAAATAAAAAAAAAAAGATGTACATTTTTTTACATACTTTCAAATGTTGAAAAAACGTATATATACGTTTGGACCGTTTAAGGGTTAAGAGTACACAAATAAACAAAAGATTTACAGTCTCAAAATAAAAAAGATATCTTACATTTATATACTCGCTTTCTTCAGAAATCCTCTCTCTATATCTTTTGGGCAGTTGCCACTCATCTAACATAGGTAGAGAGCGAGTAGGTGAAAATTCTCCCCTAGGTCCTGGGCCACCAGCAGCAGCAGGTTGATACGAGCCATGATCTGAGAAGAAAATATAATTACAGGTTAGTACATTACTATTAATAGTCACGTTGTTTACATAATGTACATTTTTAAATACCAAGCCTTGTGTTTATCTTTCTCATGAAGTGCACAGAGTATATTCACAAATGGGAAATCATGTTATATTCATGAGGAAGTGCTAAACCCGTTGGGGTTGTACAGTGCCTAAGAACTGTACATATTCATATATGATTTGAGAAAGGGGAAAAATAGCTCTACTTCCTTAAAACAAGAGCCCTTGAAGTAGGCAAACTGCAGATAATACAGGAAAAGTGTATGGTACAGTTATTATTGAAAGAATTAGAGGCAAGACAGAATGTAGGATTGCAGATGAGCAAGGAGGTTTTAGAGTGGGAAGGGGATGTGTAAATCAAGTTTACATAGAAGCAAATATGTGAACAGTATTTAGATAAAGGTAGGGATGTTTTCATTGCATTTATGGATTTAGAAAAAGCATATGATAGAGTGGATAGGGGAGCGATGTGGCAGATGTTACAAGAATATGGAATAGGTAGTAAGATACAAAATGCTGTAAAGTGTTTTTATGAGTGAGGCCCAGGTTAGGGTGTGTAGAAGAGGGAGGCTACTTCCTGGTAAAGGTGGGTCTTAGACAGGGATGTGTAATGTCACTATGGTTGTATATTTATAGATGGGGTTGTAAAAGAAGTAAATGCTAGGGTGTTCGGGAGAAGGGTGGGATTTAAATATGGGGAATCAAATACAAAATGGGAATTGACAGTTACTTTTTGCTGATGTTACCTGTGCTTATGGGAGATTCTAAAGAAAAGTTGCAAAGGTTAGTAGACGAGTTTGGGAGTGTGTGTAAAGGTAGTAAGTTGAAAGTAAACATAGAAAAAGAGTAAGGTGATGAGGGTATCAAATGATTTAGATAAAGAAAAATTGGATATCAAATTGGAGAGGAGGAGTATGGGAGAAGTGAATGTTCTCAGATATTTGGGAGTTGACGTGTCAGCAGATGGATGTATGAAGGATGAGGTTAACCATAGAATTTATGAAGAAAAAAAGGCGAGTGGTGCATTGAGGTATATGTAGAAAAAAAAAAAACTATCTATGGAAGAAAAGAAGGGAATGTATGAAAGTATAGTGGTACCAACACTTATATGGGTGTGAGGCTTGGGTTGTAAATGCTGCAGTGAGGAGGCGGTTGGAGGTGATGTCCTGTCTAAGGGCAATGCGTGGTGTAAATACTATGCAGAGAATTCAGTGTGTGGAAATCAGGAGAAGGTGTGGAGTTAATAAAAGTATTAGTCAGAGGGCTGAAGAGGGGTTGGTGAGGTGGTTTGGTCATTTAGAGAGAATGGATCAAAGTAGAATGACATGGAGAGCGCATAAATCTGTAGGGGAAGGAAGGTGGGGTAGGGGTCGTCCCCGAAAAGGTTGGAGGGAGGGGGTAAAGGAGGTTTTGTGGGCGAGGGGCTTGGACTTCCAACAAGCATGTGTGAGTGTGTTAGACAGGAGTGAATGGAGACGAATGGTATTTAGGACCTGACGAGCTGTTGGAGTGTGAGCAAGGTAATATTTAGTGAAGGGATTCAGGAAAACCAATTATTTTTATATAGCTGGACTTGAGTACTAGAAATGGGAAGTACAATGCCTGCACTTTAAAGGAGGGGGTTTGGGATATCGGCAGTTTGGAGGGATATGTTGTGTATCTTTATATGTATATGCTTCTAAACTGTTGTGTCCTGGGCACCTCTGAAAAAACAGTGATTATGTATGAGTGAGGTGAAAGTGTTGAATGATGATGAAAGTACAGTGGAACCTCTACTTGCGAGTTTAATCCGTTCGGTGAGCTTGCTCGCAACTGGATTTGCTCATTTGCAGAGTCAATTTTTCTCATTTAAAATAATTGAAATGCAATTAATCCGTTCCAGTGGAATTCTGCACTTCAATAATTTCGCTAATATCAACTCTACGGCTTATTTATCTATCTCACTTCATCTAATATGACATAATAAACAATATAAATAACAGAAACCTGATATATACTCTAAAATGCATAAAATATGTAATTCATGTAGTAGTATGGGCAGTGTTGGCGGTGGACGAGAGTTTGTCTGGAGACCGGACAGACAAAATACTTCTTGAATAATTTCGATATCATCATCTATACGGCTTATTTATGTATCACAGTTCTTCTAATATGACAAACAATATAAATAACACAGAAACCTGACATATACTCCAGAATGAATAAAATACGTCATTATATATGTGAGGCGACAGCGGCGGCTGACGAGAGTTTGTCTGGAGACAGGACAAAATACTCCTTGAATATTTTGGTATCATCAACTCTACGGCTTATCTATCTATCACAGTCCATCTAATATGAAATAATAAACAATACAAACATAGAAACCTGATATATACTCTAGAATAAAATATGTCATTATGTAACAGGTGGAGGCAGCCACAACCGCTCCCTCTTCGTTGTGGTAAACACTGCCATCTAGTGATAGCCTTTTGAAGCCATCTATTATAATTATGTAGTACATTATTATACATGTATTATTAGTATATGTATTATTCTTTTCTTTTAACGCACCGGCCGTATCCCACTGAGGCAGGGTAGCCCTGGACGCGTACTCATGGCTCTGAGCTGCCTCGGCCTTCCTCCCCAGCCAGTGTGCCACTGTTTACCAATGAGCGATGGTCCCCTCACATGTTCATATGAAATACTATTTCATAATATTCCATTCATTTTAGTGCTTGCAAGTGCTAAATAAGCTATGAAGGCTCCAAAGAAAGCTCCTAGTGCCAAGCCTTTGGTAAAGAAGGTGAGAAATACAATTGAATTTATGAAAAACATCATCGAACAATATGAAAGTGGCGTACGTGTGGCCGAACTGACCAGGATGTATAACAAATCCCATACAACCATATCTTCCATCGTGGCCAAGAAAAAGGAAATCAAGGAAGCTGTTGCTGCAAAGGGGGTAAATATGCTGACAAAAATGAGATCACCAGTACTCGAAGAGGTTGAGAAGTTATTATTGGTGTGCAAAAGAAGAAAATTAAAAGTGAATACAGGAAAGAGTAAGGTTATGAGGATAACAAAAAGATTAGGTGATGAAAGATTGGATATCAGATTGGAGGGAGAGAGTATGGAGGAGGTGAATGTATTCAGATATTTGGGAGTGGACATGTCAGCGGATGGGTCTATGAAAGATGAGGTGAATCATAGAATTGATGAGGGGAAAAGGGTGAGTGGTGCACTTAGGAGTCTGTGGAGACAAAGAGCTTTGTCCTTGGAGGCAAAGAGGGGAATGTATGAGAGTATAGTTTTACCAACGCTCTTATATGGGTGTGAAGCATGGGTGATGAATGTTGCAGCGAGGAGAAGGCTGGAGGCAGTGGAGATGTCATGTCTGAAGGCAATGTGTGGTGTGAATATAATGCAGAGAATTCGTAGTTTGGAAGTTAGGAGGAGGTGCGGGATTACCAAAACTGTTGTCCAGAGGGCTGAGGAAGGGTTGTTGAGGTGGTTCGGACATGTAGAGAGAATGGAGCTAAACAGACTTCAAGAGTGTATCAGTCTGTAGCGGAAGGAAGGCGGGGTAGGGGTCGGCCTAGGAAAGGTTGGAGGGAGGGGGTAAAGGAGGTTTTGTGTGCGAGGGGCTTGGACTTCCAGCAGGCATGCGCGAGCGTGTTTGATAGGAGTGAATGGAGACAAATGGTTTTTAATACTTGATGTGCTGTTGGAGTGTGAGCAAAGTAACATTTATGAAGGAGTTCAGGGAAACCGGCAGGCCGGACTCGAGTCCTGGAAATGGGAAGTACAGTGCCTGCACTCTGAAGGAGGGGTGTTAATGCTGTTAAAAACTGTAATGTAAAGCACCCTTCTGGCAAGACAATGATGGAGTGAATGATGGTGAAAGTTTTTCTTTCTCGGGCCACCCTGCCTTGGTGGGAATCAGCCAGTGTGATAATAATAAATATAAATAAAATAAATGAGAAACAATTAGCAGGAGATAGTCTTATGACGTCGATTATTTGTGAAAAGGCTAGGCAGTTGCATGACGATCTGGTAAAGAAATTGCTGGCAACGAGTACTGATATTTGTGAATTTAAGGCCAGCAAAGGTTGGTCTGAGAGATTTAAGAACCATAGTGGCATACACAGGTATGGTGAGGCTGCCAGTTCGGACAAAATTGCAGCTACAAAATTCTTAAGTGAATTCAAGGAGTACATAGAGGCTGAAGGACTGAAACCTGAACAAGAGTTCAATTGTGAAAAAACAGTCCTCTTTTGGAAGAAAATGCCAAAGAGGACATACATTACTCAGGAGGAAAAGGGACTGCCAGGACACAAGCCTATGAAAGACAGGCTGATACTCATGTTCTGTGCTAATGCTAGTGGGGATTTCAAAGTGAAGCCATTACTAGTGTACCATTCTGAAAATCCCAGTTAAAAAAAAAAATTTGTTATGAAGAGTAAATTGTGCGTGTTTTGGAGATCTAATTTAATAATAAGGCATGGGTCACGAGGGAAATTTTTGGCGAGTGGCTCAATGAAGTGATTGGCCCTAGTGTGAAGAATTACCTCCTGGAAAAGAAATTGGATCTCAAGTGCCTCCTAGTAATGGACAATGCACCTGCTCATCCTCCAAACTTGGATGACCTAATTATGCAGGAGTTTGGGTTCATCACAGTAAAGTTCTTGCCCCCGAATATCACTCCTCTCCTCCAGCCCATGGACCAGCAGGTCATTTCAAACTTTAAAAAATTCTACACGAAAGCAATGTTTCAGAGGTGCTTTAATGTGACCTCAGACACTCACTTGACCCTAAGAGAGTTTTGGAAAGAACACTTCAGTATCCTCCATTGTATAAGCCTTATAAGTAAGGCTTGGGAGGGAGTGACTGCCAGGACTTTGAACTCTGCTTAGAGAAAATTGTGGCCAGATTGTGTCCACAAGAGGGATTTTGAAGGGCTTGTGGCTGACCCTGATGAGCCTATGTCAGTTGTGAACTCTATTGTGGCATTGGGGAGTTCCATGGGGGTTGGATGTGAGTTTGGAGGATGTGGAAGAGTTGGTGGAGAACCACAACGAAGAGCTAACCACTGAGGAGCTGCAAGAGCTTCAGCAGGAACAGCAACAGATTGCAGCTCAGAATCTTGCTGCAGAGGAGGAGGAAGAGAGATGGAAGAAGGTGCCTTCTTCAGAAATGAAGGAGATTTTTAAAATGTGGGGTAGGATGGAAAGACTTATGGAGAAACATCACCTCGAGAAGGATGTTGCAAGCCATATCGGCAACTTGTACAGTGACAGTCTTGGCCCATTTTAGGGAAGTTTTAGAGACGCCAGAAACAGAGCTCTCTGGACACTTTTTGCGAGACAGGACTCAAGTGACTCATGCTGGTCCTAGTGGTATTAAGAAACAGAGAAGAGAAGTAACCCCAGAAATGGACTTGGTACCTAAGGTGTTGATGGAAGGGGATTCCTTCTAAACAGTAACTAATCCAATCTCCCTCCTCCTCCAGTCTTCCATACACTATGAAGAATTGCCAATAAAGGTAAGTGTTATGCTGTTAATGTTTCATTCATCATGTCCCAGTGTACTGTATATGTAGTACATCTATATTTCATGTAAAAAAATTTTTGTTTTAATACTTCCGGGTGTCAGGAACGGATTAATTGTATTTACATTATTTCTTATGGGGAAAATTTATTCGAAAATCGTCTATTTCAATAATTGTCGCACTTCCAGGAAAGGATTAACGACAATAAACGAGGGACCACTGTATTATTATTATTATTATTATTATTATTATTATTACTACTACTACTACAATGTAAATAATTTGTAATTTTTATTCACACAAAAAATATAAGATTTACTGTTATGCCTTATTGCAATAATTGTATAAATAATGTCAACCCATTCACGACTGCATATTGGAATGGACAGTGACGTCATTTGTTTACTCTTGAACATAGCCAAGCAATGGAACATTTCTCCTACGTTGAGCTCAATTTCAAGGTACTTTTCATCGTGAAAGCAGTCAAAATCAAATCTATTTCTGTAATATATCTTCCATTCTATCAAACGAGACAAAAAAAAAAAAAAAAAAAAAAAAAAAAAAAAAAAAAAAAAAAAAAATACAACCATAAAAACCATACGAAAATACTGCTGAGGGGTGGCTAATTGCTGAGAAGTGAACTCCACTATTTATGGTCCAATTTCTTTCATTTTTGGTGCAAGTTAACCCTTTCAGGGTTTCAGACGTACTAGTATAGCTTATGCACCAGTGTCCACGATGTACTAGTATGCATAAATTCTAGTGCCTTCAAATCTAGTGAGAGAAAGCTGGTAGGCCTACATATGAAAGAATGGGTCTATGTGGTCAGTGTGTGTAGTATAAAAAAAAAATCCTGCAGCACACAGTGCGTAATGAGAAAAAAAAGAAAAACTTTGACCGTGTTTCTGGATTAAAACAGACTTTGCACTGTATTTTCGTATGGTATTTATTGTTGTATTCTAGTTTTCCAGGTCTTATTTTATAGAATGGAAGACATATTACAGAAATTGAGATGATTTTGACTGGTTTCACAATGAAAAGTACCTTGAAATTGAGCTCAAAGTAGCAGAAATGTTCGATTTTTACCGAAGTTCAAAAGTAAACAAATCATGCTAAGCGTCCAATACATGTCAACTGGGGAGTCTAATATTCTTTCACAAGTGCGCTGATATTATTTATACCACTTCTACACTAATGCAGTAGTCTGCATAACAGTAAATCTTTTTTTTTTTTTGCGAAAATAAAAATTCCAAGTGGAAAGCAAAAAAAATGTAAGAGGGGCCTGGGGATGTGACTAATGAACAGAGGAAATGTTATTTTAGTGCCAGGAATGTCTTTCTTGTTTATTCTGGACCCTATTTGGAAATTGGCATCTTTTGAAATTTGTGTGAAATTGGCAAAATTGCTAAATTCTCACCAATGTATTGGATAGTTGAAATCAGTAAATTGGTGGTTTCTTGTACTCATTCGATAGAAAAAAAAAATGGAGTTCTAGTGAAATAGTTATGATTTTTGTCGACTAGTACATTGGAATTGGCTGAAAATAGGGCTCAAAGTGGGCAAAATCGCCAATGCTTAAACATCGTCGAGACCGCTAACTTCGCGAGAGCATAATTCTGTAAGTTTTCCATCAAATTTCATACTTTTGGTGTCATTATGATCAGGAAAAGATTCTCTATCTTTTCATAAGATTTTTTTTTTTTTTAATTTGGGGGACCCTGAGAACAAGTCTCTGAGAGGGCCTGTGGGCCCTGAAAGGGTTAAGAAATCTGTCCATCATACATTGCCCAAGTTTCAATAAGATAGTCCAACAAACAAATGAGATACAATTCCCTAGATCAAGAAAAACTCGCATGTGGGTGCGCTTGCAAGTAGAGGTTCCACTGTATTTTCTTTTTGGGGATTTTCTCTGTTTTTGGATCACCCTGCCTTGGTGGGAGATGGCCAACTTTAAAAAAAAAAAAAAAAAAAAAAAAAAATCCTTATGATACACAACCCCGCCCCCCCATTCTTATCACAGCAGCCATCTCCCACAGAGGCGGGATGACCCAAAAATGAAGAAATTACTTTTTTTTTTTTTTTAACATTTAGTAATTTATACAGGGGTTACTAGCTCCTTCCTCCTGGCATTTTAGTAACCTTCAACGACACGCATGGCTAAAAGAGGAAGTATTCTTCAGTTCCCCATGAAGACAATGCCTCACACCAAACTTAAATTTTAATGTTATGGGGTGTAATAATTTTGCAAATGAAGTGCCTCAAAGTGAATTACAGCATGTTCTCTGAATATGTTAACAAGTTTAACCCTTTCAGGGTCCAGAGGCCAAATTTCAAAGTGTGCACGAGTGTCCAAGAATTTTCAAAAAATAATTGTTATTTTTTCTTATGAAATGGTAGATAATCTATTTTCTGAAGGTAATAAAACAAAAAGTACGAAATTTGATGGAAAACTGATGAAATTAAGCTCTCACGAACTTTGATGTGTCAGCAATATTTACGTATCGGCGATTTTGCTGACTGACTCCCATTTTAGGCTAATTACATTATTCCAGTCGACCAAATTCTTAGCTATTACACTAGTATTACTTCTATTCTAACGACTGAGCACAAGAAGTCGCCAAGTCAACTGTTTCAACTACAAAATAAAGTGATATGAAATTGGTAATTTGGCCAATTTAATGCACAGTTCAAAATATTCCAATTTCAAAATAGGGTCCAGAATAAACAGTACAGACATTCCTGGCATTAAACTAACATTTCCTCTGTTCATTAGTTACATTTTCAGGCTTTACAAATGAATTCTATTTTGATTTTTTATTCACAATGAATTTTCATTCAAACCAAAAATAGCAGATTTACTGTTATGCAATATTGTAATAATTTTATAAATAATATCACCACATTTGTGAACGTATATTAGACCCACCAGCTGGCATGTATTATACGTGCGAGGTCATTTGTTTATTCTTGAACATCAGCAAAAATTTAACATTTCTGCTACTTTGAGCTTAGTTTCAAGCCATTTTCAGTACTAAAACCAATCAAAATCTCTATTTCTGTAATGTACCTTCCATTCTATCAAATGAGACCAAGAAATCGCAAATACAACTATAAAAAACATACGGAAAAACACTGCAAAGTCGCTGTTTTAATAGAAAATTACGGTCTCGTTTTTTTTTATCTCGTTATGCACCGTGTGCTGCAAGATTTGTTTTATGTGGTGCACACATACCACAGATGTATTCTCTCATATCTAGGCCCAAATTTACCGCTCCCATCTTATCAGAGCGAGCCGAGCTCATAGCGTAGATTTACGATTTGGACCCTCGATGTAAAGCCATAGATCTACAGCACGGACCCTGAGAGGGTTAATCTCTGGAGAGAATCATCCTTTTGTGTCTCCATAACTTACATGTTCTCACATGATCAGGTACAAACACCAAAAAATTCTTTAATAGTAAACAAGTTCTTGAAATAAATAATTTCACTAGTACTCAGCAAGCTAATTATACTACATGCATTATTTTGCCACTGACTAAACACACACACATGGCAATTACAATACAGAGGATGCCTTGATAAATATTTTAATTCTAAACTACAATATTTTGCCACCAACTATTAATGCAGGTACAGTAGTTAGAATTCAGAAATTGGATATCCCTCAAGAATTATGTATATACATGCACCTCACCAAGTGTGTTTATAAAGCTTAACTCCAGTATTATACAGGTGAAGCTTCCAAAGTGCAAGTCATATAACCGTCTTCTCATACGAGTTATTTTAAGCTCTCATAAAACTAAGTTTTTATGAACAAAGACATTTATTTATTCTTTGCTCAATAAATTAGAAAAACCACACCACCTACAAGGATTTGTTAAAATTGTGTATTACACAACTTTACTTACCAGGCCATGTTAAATCTCTCTTCTGAAGTCTGTCAACTGGGAGGTGAACAATCGTAGCCTGTGGGTTTAAGTTACCAGTCAGAGGATCTCTCACAAAACTTGACCTTAGTTACCTAATTTTCAAAGCAGTTAAGTTTATGGCAATATAGAGAAAAAAGAAAAATCATATCTGTTAATGAAAACTTTAAGAGATCCTTATTTAATATTTCAACACTGTCCCATGCAAGGAATGCAAGAATTCCAGTACAATTTCAGACACTTTGGCAAAACATCTAAAAATGTTTCAGTATTTAAATTATCCAAATACAATATATTTTATTTTATTTTATTATCACACTGGCCGATTCCCACCAAGGCAGGGTGGCCCGAAAAAGAAAAACTTTCACCATCATTCACTCCATCACTGTCTTGCCAGAAGGGTGCTTTACACTACAGTTTTTAAACTGCAACATTAACACCCCTCCTTCAGAGTGCAGGCACTGTACTTCCCATCTCCAGGACTCAAGTCCGGCCTGCCGGTTTCCCTGAACCCCTTCATAAATGTTACTTTGCTCACACTCCAACAGCACGTCAAGTATTAAAAACCATTTGTCTCCATTCACTCCTATCAAACATGCTCACGCATGCCTGCTGGAAGTCCAAGCCCCTCGCACACAAAACCTCCTTTACCCCCTCCCTCCAACCTTTCCTAGGCCGACCCCTACCCCGCCTTCCTTCCACTACAGACTGATACACTCTTGAAGTCATTCTGTTTCGCTCCATTCTCTCTACATGTCCGAACCACCTCAACAACCCTTCCTCAGCCCTCTGGACAACAGTTTTGGTAATCCCGCACCTCCTCCTAACTTCCAAACTACGAATTCTCTGCATTATATTCACACCACACATTGCCCTCAGACATGACATCTCCACTGCCTCCAGCCTTCTCCTCGCTGCAACATTCATCACCCACGTTTCACACCCATATAAGAGCGTTGGTAAAACTATACTCTCATACATTCCCCTCTTTGCCTCCAAGGACAAAGTTCTTTGTCTCCACAGACTCCTAAGTGCACCACTCACTCTTTTTCCCTCATCAATTCTATGATTCACCTCATCTTTCATAGACCCATCCGCTGACACGTCCACTCCCAAATATCTGAATACGTTCACCTCCTCCATACTCTCTCCCTCCAATCTGATATCCAATCTTTCATCACCTAATCTTTTTGTTATCCTCATAACCTTACTCTTTCCTGTATTCACCTTTAATTTTCTTCTTTTGCACACCCTACCAAATTCATCCACCAATCTCTGCAACTTCTCTTCAGAATCTCCCAAGAGCACAGTGTCATCAGCAAAGAGCAGCTGTGACAACTCCCACTTTGTGTGTGATTCTTTATCTTTTAACTCCACGCCTCTTGCCAAGACCCTCGCATTTACTTCTCTTACAACCCCATCTATAAATATATTAAACAACCACGGTGACATCACACATCCTTGTCTAAGGCCTACTTTTACTGGGAAAAAATTTCCCTCTTTCCTACATACTCTAACTTGAGCCTCACTATCCTCGTAAAAACTCTTCACTGCTTTCAGTAACCTACCTCCTACACCATACACTTGCAACATCTGCCACATTGCCCCCCTATCCACCCTGTCATACGCCTTTTCCAAATCCATAAATGCCACAAAGACCTCTTTGGCCTTATCTAAATACTGTTCACTTATATGTTTCACTGTAAACACCTGGTCCACACACCCCCTACCTTTCCTAAAGCCTCCTTGTTCATCTGCTATCCTATTCTCCGTCTTACTCTTAATTCTTTCAATTATAACTCTACCATACACTTTACCAGGTATACTCAACAGACTTGTCCCCCTATAATTTTTGCACTCTCTTTTATCCCCTTTGCCTTTATACAAAGGAACTATGCATGCTCTGCCAATCCCTAGGTACCTTACCCTCTTCCATACATTTATTAAATAATTGCACCAACCACTCCAAAACTATATCCCCACCTGCTTTTAACATTTCTATCTTTATCCCATCAATCCCGGCTGCCTTACCCCCTTTCATTTTACCTACTGCCTCACGAACTTCCCCCACACTCACAACTGGCTCTTCCTCACTCCTACAAGATGTTATTCCTCCTTGCCCTATACACGAAATCACAGCTTCCCTATCTTCATCAACATTTAACAATTCCTCAAAATATTCCCTCCGTCTTCCCAATACCTCTAACTCTCCATTTAATAACTCTCCTCTCCTATTTTTAACTGACAAATCCATTTGTTCTCTAGGCTTTCTTAACTTGTTAATCTCACTCCAAAACTTTTTCTTATTTTCAACAAAATTTGTTGATAACATCTCACCCACTCTCTCATTTGCTCTCTTTTTTACATTGCTTCACCACTCTCTTAACCTCTCTCTTTTTCTCCATATACTCTTCCCTCCTTGCATCACTTCTACTTTGTAAAAACTTCTCATATGCTAACTTTTTCTCCCTTACTACTCTCTTTACATCATCATTCCACCAATCGCTCCTTTTCCCTCCTGCACCCACTTTCCTGTAACCACAAACTTCTGCTGAACACTAACACTACATTTTTAAACCTACCCCATACCTCTTCGACCCCATTGCCTATGCTCTCATTAGCCCATCTATCCTCCAATAGCTGTTTATATCTTACCCTAACTGCCTCCTCTTTTAGTTTATAAACCTTCACCTCTCTCTTCCCTGATGCTTCTATTCTCCTTGTATCCCATCTACCTTTTACTCTCAGTGTAGCTACAACTAAAACGTGATCTGATATATCTGTGGCCCCTCTATAAACATGTACATCCTGAAGTCTACTCAACAGTCTTATCTACCAATACATAATCCAACAAACTACTGTCATTTCGCCCTACATCATATCTTGTATACTTATTTATCCTCTTTTTCTTAAAATATGTATTACCTATAACTAAACCCCTTTCTATACAAAGTTCAATCAAAGGGCTCCCATTATCATTTACACTATGTACATATCAATTCTCCAAAGAAACATACATAACTCTACATTTTCCTTAATTAGATGACAAGAATTATATTTATAAACTAGGAGAATGTGATTCAAGGCAATTTAATATTAAAATGTTTTTGTGATAACTTTTGAAGTAGCAGCTAGTGTTATTATGAGTGAATTCTTGCAATGTGTGAATATTTTCACACCATACACTGGCACATTTGATCCCCCCCCCCCAAAAAAAAAAACAAATGTCCCCAAAAAGCTTTATAATAAAATTCACATTTGACTAAATTCTTCGTTCAACAAACCAGCCATATCCCACTGAGGCAGGGTGGCCCAAAAGGAAAAATGAAAGCTTCTCCTTTTAAATTTAGTAACATATACAGGAGAAGGGGTTATTGGCCCCTTGCTCCTGGCATTTTAATAGCCTCTTGTGACACACATGGCTCACGTAAGAAGAGCTCTGCTCCACTTCCCCACGGAGATAAGAAGAAATAAAGAAGAACAAGACCTATTAAGAAAATAGAAGAAAACCCAGATGGGTGTGTATAAATATGCATGTACATGCATGTGTAGTGTGACCTAAATATAAGTAGAAGTAGCAAGGTGTACCTGTTATTCTGCATGTTTACGAGACAAAAAAATAGACACCAGCAATGCTACCATCATGTAAAAGAATTACGGGTTTCCATTTCACACTAACTTTACCTCCCTGGGCGATTACTGTCAACCAACCTACTGCCTACACCACAGATATACAGTACGACTGCTGTATTCATGGGTCTGGTTTCCACAGTTTCAGTTATCCGCTGTTTACCCAGGCCTGAAAATAACCCTTAATTTTGCTTAATAAAGAAACTAAAGTGCAAAATTAGTGATGGTGAGAGTTATTCAATGAAGTGCTTCTCATCAGTGAAAAAATGCTAACTCTCAACTTACTGTGCATAATTTACCAATTAAACTATCATAGGTGTACATGTAAATGAAAAATTACTTAAACATGGGGTTCACTACTATCTGCAGTAGGTCATGGAATGTATCCCCCATGGATACATAGGTCCTACTGTATACAGTGGACCCCGGTTTACGATATTTCATTCCAGAAGTATGTTCAGGTGCCAGTACTGAACGAATTTGTTCACATAAGGAATATTGTGAATTAGATTAGTCCATTTCAGACCCCCAAACATACACGTACGAACGCACTTACATAAATACACTTACGTAATTGGTCGCATTGGGAGGTGATCGTACAGCCGGGGTCCACTGTATATGATAACTTACGAGAGGCAGTGTTACGAGTGAGATGGGTTTTTCTTCCACTAAGCATGACGTTATCAGACTCATACAAAGCTCATAAATAAAGAATAATAGTAACAATGTTTCTGGAGCAATTCACCATTTGTGGGGAATAAGGCAGTGTGTCTGGGTCATGGCTGATTTGGGTTAGTGGTCCCTCATTTCAGTCATGAATTCAGTCTGAAGCCTACTGTAACATTTCAGGGTAACTCAATCAATGTATACTAACCTTTATTCCTCACAGTAGGCAGTGTATATAGACAGCTAATGGTGGTAATCTCTGGTTGTGTGTGGCCAATACCCGCACGAGTATACAGAGTACAGATGAATAGTATTCAAGGTCTCTAATACTTACGTGGAGGTAGAAGGCTGGGAATCACCTGAGAAATACCTGGCAAATCTGTCACAGCTGCCTGTTCCTGATACTGATGGTGCCTGCATGCAGCTGGTACCTAAGTTACACGACTGGTAATTCACTGCACACAGCTGGGGATTTGTATCTCTGTCACTAGGTTTTCTGGGACTGCCTGCCATCGGCTCAACCTGTTGGGACTCAAACTGGCAGGCTGAGGGTGCCTAAGGCTTAATTAATGTATGAGACGTATAATACGTACTATGGTAGGCTAACAATTATCTCTAACTTAGCTTAAATGTATGTAGTAGTAATGTAGTAATTGTAGTGTATAATTATCCTAGGAGTACGAGGCTACTTCTTAGTAATTAAGTAATATATACATAGAATTGATACTAGGCGTCATCCCCCCCTTCCCTACATTTCCCCACCTGGGGGTGGGCATAACGGTTCTGGAAAATAAAGATATTTTCCACACCAAGTTTTAGATAAAATTTTTGGCCATTCCAGACTACTGACTTTGCAACAGCCTAGGACAATCTAAAATGCTGCTTGAAGTTTCTTCTCCAAGTTATGGATTAATAATGAATAATAAATGAATGTAGCAGACACAATTCAGAGATGTGGTAGAGTGAAACATATACCGTTTCCACCTCCATACTTAGTACAACTTCCATTTCCACTACTCACCTTCTCCATACTTAGTACAATATCCACCTCCATTACTCACCTTCTCTATACTTAGTACAACATCCACCTCCATTACTCACCTTCTCCATACTTAGCACTTTTTAACTCCATCACTTGCTCTTTTTTTTTTTTTATGTATAGTGTGTGTATAATTAACAAGACATACCTGTGCTGCAGATGGGAAGAGTGGATTGCTGACTGGCTGCATAGCGCCAGAGGAGCTGACTGCAGCCATTACATTTTTAAGCTGTTTAGCGGCTACCTCCACCTCTTCTTCAGAGGGTATACCATTCATTCCGTATATCTCAAATGTTATGTAGTTTTTTTTTTCGAGGGCATTTGGTACTGTGTAGATTATTTCCTTATGAACCTGTTTTTAAAGTAGTGCTCACAGTAAATAATTTATAATTAGAAAATTACAGAAACAATGACCTACTGCGAATACTATTTACAGCTAGGTCTCAATTAGTGTGAATAATGAATCCCATGAAGCTGTTGCACTATTCAAAATTGAAAATTTCATTTCCTTGCAAAGTTTAGAATGTGTGATTTACACATTATCAAATACTGTTAAGCAGAAAGAAACAAGAATACCTGAGCATTTCAGGCAGACTAATCCTAGTGCTTACAGACTACTTAAAACTAGACATAGGTTATGCAGTGGTAAATTTAAATTATTCATTTTACATTATTACAATACAGAGGTAGCCAAAAATTTTATACTTAAGATTTATAGCAGAAAGGTAGCTAAAAACTATTAACAATGTTACAATTAGTACAATCTGTAATGCTACAAGAGTACAATTTTAAAAATGTATTAAGATTTTAGACTGATCTAGCAGTCCTAAGTTTTATGAGATTTCTCGAGTATAGTGGAACCTCGGTTTTCGTCTAATTCGTTCCAGAGAGTGATGAAAACCGAATTCGACAAAAACTGAAGCAATATTTCCCTAAATCCAATTAATCTGTTCCAGATGCCCAAAAAAAAAAAAAAAATTTATAGAGAAAAGCTATAATTTTACATACAGAAAACAATGAGAAATAAATATAACGCTCTAATGAAATGGATAAATGAACATACAAATCACTTTTACCTTTATTAAAGACTTGTTGGCGTATGGAAGGCGGCAAGGAGGGGAGAGGGAGGAGAGGTTATCTCTACCACTATCACTACCACCCTCTACCACCATCACTACCACCCTCTACCACCATCACTACCACCCTCTACCACCATCACTACCACCCTCTACCACCATCACTACCACCATCACTACCACCCTCTACCACCATCACTACCACCATCACTACCACCCTCTACCACCATCACTACCACCATCACTACCACCATCACTACCACCATCACTACCACCATCACTACCACCATCACTACCACCATCACTACCACCACCACCTTCTACCACCATTGAATTCTATCGTGTTTCTCGCCTTCCTTATCAAAGGGCTGGCACTCGGAACTTTCTTTGGCTCCATGGTGGCTTATTTGGCAGTCACACTCAAACAAGCACAAAAACCAATGGATTATTACAAAATGTTTCCTATAAATGCACAGGGTAATGTTCAGTCAACGAGAAACAAAGCCAGACTGACTCAGCATGCGTGCATGGGATGCTGTGTGTGGGCGAGGGCAGCAGTACGAAAACCGAAGTGATGAATGAAAAATGGGACTATTTTAACGAAAAAAGCAGTCGAAAACCGAATTGGACTAAAACCAGGGCAAATGAAAACCAAGGTTCCACTGCAGTTTCAAACTGGTTGAATGATTTAGTGGTGTTGGTATGGTTAAGTTTAGAAGACGAGATTTTTTTTAATTATAGACATAAACTGACTGGCAGACAGGATCTTTTGCTAGTTAGGGCAATGAATTCCAGAACTTAGGGCCCTTTATGTGAAATGCATTTTCATAGGATGAGAGAAATCAGGGATGTGTTGTGCCTGTGTGAGTTCTGTTGTAGCTATCAAGAAGTTTGAGAGGAAAAAAGAAAAAGAAAGATGTAGAGAGATGCTCCCTATACAGGCAAAGGCAAAGAATCACAGAGCTGATGAGAAGGGCCAACATGTCTGAAATACAAAGGGAGCCACTGGTCAGAGAGATAGCAATATCAAACGTAAGCTTAAGGAATCTTACAAGAGACGACAATCTCAGGAAGAAATTAAAGCCATAAAGGAAATGGAAGAAACCCATGATACTTCTCTTATGCCAAATGCAAGGGGGAAAACAACATCCAGTATTAGACCCCTGCTTAGACAAGATGGGACCTACACAGATGACGGCAAAGAAATGAATGAGATACAGTAGTACTAAAGTCCCAAAACGACTGTGTTCAGCAAGCTATTAACTAGACTAAAGGTTGACAATCTAAGTGAATTCTTTACGACCGAGACCCAAAATCTGGTCATTTAAAAAATCTGATATTATCCTGACACCACAATTAATGACATGCCCATGTACTCTTCCCCAGGCCTGGACTTGTGTTCATCAAGAACTGCAAGAAACCCTTGTCACGTGCCTTCAGCATTCTATGGAGAGGGAGCATGGACACAGGGGTGATCTCACAGTCACTAAAAAAACAGACATGGCCCCATTCCACAAAAGTGGCAGTAAAGCAATTGCAAAGAACTACAGACCAATAGCGCTAATATCCCATATCATAAAAATCTTCGAAAGGGTTCTAAAATGGAAGATCACCAACCACCTAGATACCCATCAATTACACAACACAACGCAACACTGGTTTAGAGCTGATTACTCCTGCCTGTCCCAGCTATTAGACTACTATGGATGCCATAGAGGACAAATGAAATGCAGATGTAGTATAACACAGACTTTGCAAAAGTCTTCGACAAGTGCGACCACAGTGTACAAGCACACAAAACGCATGATAAAGGAATAACAAGTTGGTAGATGGATCTATAATTTCCTGACAAATAGAACACAAACAGCAGTAGCAAACAGAGTAAAGTTTAAGGCAGCTACAGTGAAAAGCTCTGTTCCACAAGGCACAGTAATTGCTCCCATCCTGTTCCTCATCCTCATGTCTGACACAGAGATGTAATCCAAAGCTCCACGACTTCTTTCGCGGTTGACAACCAAATTTGCGTGACAGCGTCCCCCATCAAAGGCACCACAAGACTCCAAATGGACATCAACCAAATCTTTAAATGAAGTTCAATGAAAAGAAATTTAAACTACTCAGATATGGAAAACTTGAGGAAATTAAAACCATATCAGGGTATACAACAAATTCTAAGCACACAATAGAGTGAAAAACTAATGTGAAGGACCTGGGAGTGATAATATCAGAGGATCTCATTTTCAAAGACCACAATGTACAGTGGTGCCTTGACTTACAAGTGCCCCAACTTAGGAGTTTTCCAAGTTACGTGCCGTCACTCGGTCAATTTTTGCTTCACGTTGCGAGCCAAAATCAGAGTTACGAGCGAGCTTCAGATATGCCACCACTAGTTGGCGCAATGAATGCCACAACATCTACCAACATGTGTGCGCGTCTATCTTGTGCGCGTGTTGTGTGTGTGTACTCACCTAATTGTGGTTGCAGGGGTCGAGACTCTGCTCCTGGCCCCGCATCTTCACTGATCGCTACTAGATCCTCTCTCTCTCTCTCTCTCTCTCTGCTTCCTGAGCTGTATCATACCTCTTCTTAAAACTATGTATGGTTCCTGCCTCCACTACTTCACTTGCTAGGCTATTCCACTTCCTGACAACTCTATAACTGAAGAAATACTTCCTAACGTCCCTGCGATTCGTCTGAGTCTTCAGCTTCCAGTTGTGACCCCTTGTCCCTGTGTCCCCTCTCTGGAACATCCTATCTCTGTCCACCTTGTCTATTCCCCACAGTATCTTTTATGTCGTTATCATGTCTCCCCTGACCCTTCTGTCCTCCAGTGTCGTCAGTCCGATTTCCCTTAACCTTTCCTCGTACGACGTTCCCTTGAGCTCTGGGACTAGCCTTGTTGCAAACCTTTGTACTTTCTCTAACTTCTTGACGTGCTTGACCAGGTGTGGGTTCCAGACTGGTGCTGCATACTCCAGTATGGGCCTAACATACACAGTGTACAGTGTCTTGAACGATTCCTTATTAAGGTATCGGAACGCTATTCTCAGGTTTGCCAGGCGCCCGTATGCTGCAGCATTTTATCTGTGATGTGTGCCTCCGGTGATGTGCTCGGTGTTATGGTCACCCCAAGGTCTTTCTCCCTGAGTGAGGTCTGTAGTCTTTGTCCACCTAGCCTATACTCTGTCTGCGGTCTTCTTTGCCCCTCCCCAATCTTCATGACTTTGCATTTGGCTGGATTGAATTCGAGAAGCCAGTTACTGGACCACATGTCCAGGTCTCTTTGCAGTCCTGCCTCATCCTCGTCCGATTTAATTCTTCTCATCAACTTCACGTCATTTGCGAACAGGGACACTTCAGAGTCTATTCCTTCCATCATGTTGTTCACATATATCAAAAATAGCACTGGTCCTAGAACTGACCCCTGTGGGACCCCGCTAGTAACAGGCACCCACTGTGATACCTCTTCACGTACCGTGACTTGTTGCTGCCTCCCTGTCAGGTATTCCCTTATCCATTGCAGTGCCCTCCCTTTTACATGCACCTGATCCTCCAGCTTCTGCACTAATCTCTTGTGGGGAACTGTGTCAAAGGCCTTCCTGCAGTCTAGGAAAACGCAATCTACCCACCCCTCTCTCTCGTGTCTTACTTCTGTTACCTTGTCATAAAACTCCAGGAGGTTTGTGATACAAGATTTGCCTTCCATGAACCCATGCTGGTTTTCATTTATAATCTTGTTCCTTTCCAGGTGTTCGACCACTCTCCTCATGATAATCTTCTCCGTGTGTGTGTGTGTGTGTGTGTGTGTGTGTGTGTGTGTACACACACAGTAGGGCCCCACTTAGGCAGGTTTGGTTCCAGGCTACTGCCGGAAAGCAGACATCGCCGTAAAGAAGAACGCCATTTTTTCCACTTATAAATGCCAGATAAGTTTACACTAACATATATTAAGTTAGCAATAGAACTAGGCATTAAAAACAATGAAAAGTAAAATACACACAGTACATTCATCATTTTCCTCAAAATATTTGTAGTCTTAATGTAGGGCAAATGGTGAGTAGTATTTACAGTAAGAATTCATGTGTGGTAGCCCTCCTGGCCACCCCACCCACACATAATATACTACGATGCTTAAAGCTCCCTAGAGTGATAAAATGCACATACAGGTCTCCTTCAACATTTGCGAGGGTTAGGGGATCAAGAGCCTCGCGAATGTTGAAAAATCGCAAATGTTTGGTGCCCCAATATACTGTAGGGAAATATAATACAATACTGC